ACGACGACGACGACGACTACTACTACTACTACTACGACTACTACTACGACTACTTCTGCTACTACTACTACCACTACTACTACGACAATTCTTGCCATTCCTACTACTACTACTACTACTACTACTACTACGACTACTACTACTTCTACTACTACTACTACTACTACTACTACGACTACTACTACTACTACTACTACTACTACGACTACTACTACTACTACTACTACTACTACTACTACTACTACGACTACTGCTACTACGACGACGACGACGACAACGACGACGACTACTATTACTGCTACTACTCCTACTACTCTTCCGTGCACCGTACATCCGTACACCGTGCATCCGTACAGGCGGATTGTCCGGAAACTATTTTTCCCCGCCAGAACCCAGAGTATCATTTTCCCCACCCTTCGAGTATCGGCGGCACTCGGTTATACAGATCCACCTCGCTTCTCCCCCCTCCACCCTGCCTTCACGGATTGCCTCCTCCCATCCTGGGAGGGGGGAGTGGGAGGAACGCGTATCTGCACAGTGATAGTGCAGTCATCGTGGCACCGAAAGGAGCGCTGAGTGATGCTTCTTTTGTTTTGAGGGGTGCGATATTGCGGTTCTGCCAACGGCGAGCCTCAGCCATGGTAGGCTCCCGACCCAGCTTTGGAACGGCCCCAAAAAACAGAGCCCCTCTCTGAATGAACCAGAGTGGTCCTTGTCTGAGCGTCTTGGCTGTCCTGTGGTCCTCCCCCGACCAGGAGAAGGAGGCAGCAAAGAGGAGAAACAGCAGAACCGAGCACGGGGCAGCAGCGGAAACCCAAACGCGTCCAAAATCCCCAATCCGCAACACTCGACCCCGCGTCGAGGCGACGACGACGACGACGACGACGACGACGACGACGACGACGACGTGGAGAAGGAAGGGGCCGACGACGAGGCCGACGCTTGCGACGGCGACTGCGATGGCCGACGGCGGCGGCGGCGAGGCCGACGCCGAGGCCGACGACGGCGGGGCAGGCGCGGGCGGAGGCGGCGGCGCGGCACCGCCGCGGTGGTGGGGGCCGGGGGGCTGCTGGAGACGCGGCGGCCCGATGAACGCCCTGCTCACCTGGGGGGGAAGGGGGGGCGCCGCACGGACCACCTGACCAGAGCCTGGCAAGGTCGGTGGAGGAGGGGGAGGAGGAGGAGAAGGAGGCGGAAGGGGGAGGGAGGAGGAGGAGGAGGAGGAGGAGAGGAGGAGGAGGAGGAGGAGGAGGAGGAAGGAGGAGGAGAAGGAGGCGGCAAGGGGGGGGAGGAGGAGGAGGAGGAGGAGGACGAGGAGGAGGAGGGGAGGAGGAGGAGGAAGAGGAGGAGGAGGAGGAGGAGGAGGAGGAGGCGGAGAAGAAGGAGGAGGAGAAGGGGGGAGGAGGAGGAAAAAGGATGAGTAGCGGAGGAGGAGGAGGAGGAGGAGGAGGAGGAGGAGGAGGAGGAGAGGAGGGAGGAAGGGCTAAGGGGGAGAGGTGGCCACGACGGCGCGATCGAGGCCACGGGTCACGCGCCGAGGGCACCCCAGGCCCCGAGAGGGTGCCCGAGAAGAAGCCAAGCCCCGACGTGGAGAGCCCCAACAGGAGAACACAGGAGGAGGAGGAGGAGGAGGAGGAGGAGGAGGAGGAGGAAGGGTAGTAGGAGGAGGAGGCGGGAGGAGGCGGAGGAGGGAGGAGGAGGAGGAGGAGGAGGAGGGAGGAGGAGGAGGAGGAGGAGGAGGAGGAGGAGGAGGCCTCCAGCAAGAGGAGGAGGGAGGAGGAGGAGAACACGTGGAGAGCCCCAACAGGAGGAGGAGGAGGAGGAGGAGCTAGCGCTGTCCTTGACCCTCGTGTGATGATGCTCCAACCTACTTTAGCCCTGATCACCAGAAAGAGCTCCGAGCGCCAACAAAAGTACCGAAACTCAAGGGCTTTCACGCGTCGGGCCCTGGGAAACGCTCGCCCGACACTGTTTCGACACTGCTTCGACACTCTTTTGACACTTTTCCGGGTGCTCGGAATTATTCCTGGGATGCGGTCCTTAAGTAGGATGGGAACAACATGACCCTCGTGCTAGCTCCACCAGGGTTGTGGATGCCATGACAGTGGACGCCCTGACAATCCTATTATTGAATTAAAAATGTGCTTACAGTGTGCAACGCATGTTCTAAAAATGTGTCAAGCATGTTTTCCATGTTTGACACATGTTCAGACATCTTGAAATTATGTGGCAGCATGCTCTCTCCACTAATCGACTTCCACAGCACTAGGGGCCTCCTAGATGGCGTCCGAGTAAGTGGTCGCATCGCCGATGCATCGGCGATGCATCGGCGATGCATCGGCGGCGTCGGCGATGCATCGGCGACGTCGGCGAGGAGGAAATCAGTCTCCGCATCTAGCCGCATCGCCGATGCATCGGCGATGCGGCGCGATCCTCCGACCCCGTCTGCTCCGAGCTCATCTGGGAGGCCTCGAAGAACACAAGGGTGCCCATCCAAAGCTAGTGCTGTCCTTGACCCTCGCGCTGGCTCCACAGGCTTCCCTGGCCGAGCCAGCGGGGCTTGCACAACGATCCTGCGCCCAGGGGCTGGCAAGAGGTGGCCAGCGGCAGCCCCGCGACGACGAGGGCAGAGCGAAGACGCACGCGGCAAGGGAGAAAGAAGGAGGAATCCGCTGCATCTCATGAAGGCTATCTCGAACACCAGAACCGAATGTTGCCACAGAATCGGACGCGCCAAAAACGGCAGTGGACTCGGACAGCCTGGGAAGCGTCCGCATCCGAAAAACATGGTGGCCTTGCGGGCGTGGCCCGAAGACAAAACACGAGCCAAAAACAGAAGCCAGCTGCTGCCGCGGCGCGCGCGGGCGCTGGCCTCGGCCGCCGCGCCGGCCGCTCGGCCTCGGCGGCCTCCGCCGTGCGACGACGCCAGGCCGCTCGAGGCTGCGCTGGGCCAGGCCGCCGCCCCCCCCCCCACGGGGACACCACGCACGGGCACTCTGCCCGGCGACCCCGGCGAACCCAGCCCTTCCCGCTGCGGGCAGCGCTGCGGTCCCCGCAGCGAAGACTCGCGAAGTCTCTGAGCACGGCAGGTTCGTGTCGCGTCGGCCCTGGCGCTGGCTCCTGACACCGCGGGGATCCTTCAGCCTTGAACGAGCGACCGTTTCCGAAGCGTCAGCTCGTTCGGCGTCGACCGATTCTGGGTCGCCGGCGGCGTTCAACGTTAAACGCCAGCGGCGGGGTCGCCGCTGGTCAAAACGACGCGAACCTATCGTAGAAGAAGAAAAAACGCCATAGACATAAACTGTTGGCGCTCCGCGCCAAAAGTTTGTGCTTATGGCGTTTTGTGACTCTTCGACTAGAGGTGGCTCGGCGGCCTTCCAAGGCGCACGTCAGTGAGCACTGCGTGCCCATTCCGCGCGGCGCGACAATCCAAACAGGCGCTCCTAACCTAATATCGGGTCGGGCGAAAAAGGGGGATGGCAAAAGGGGGGTTTGAGAATCAGCTCACGTAGCTGATTTTCCCCAGGCGGCTATGTATCGAGGAATGGGCCCCTCGGTGAGGCCGAAACCAGCTGCACGCAGCAAATTTCGTACCCCCCCCTTTCCCAATCCCCCCCTTTCGTCCGGCCCGATAATAGAGACAAGCACCGCATGAGCATCAACTTGTGAGGTCCGCACGGATCTCTCGGACCTCCCCCTCTCCATGGCGCGCAGAGCGCGCCCCCCCCAGCGACACTGAAAACGCCGCCAGCGAGGGGCCCAGCGCCGATCCCATAAATCCGCGGGGGCCTCTGACGGTTTACAGCTTATGCCGATGTTGATGGGCTTGCCTTCAACCACCACCACCATATGTTGGAGGGGGAGGAGGAGGAGGAGGAGGAGGAGGAGGAGGAGGAGGAGGAGGAGGAGGAGGAGGAGGAGGAGGAGGAGGAGTAGGAGAGGGAGGAGGGTGAAGGAGGAGGAGGACGAAGAGGAGGAGGAGGAGGAGGAGGAGGAGGAGGAGGATCCCCTCCCCCTCCAACTTAGTGGTGGCGGTGGACAACAGGCCCATCGGATGAGCTTCTCCGATGGCCGCAACGCCGCGCTTCCCACCGCGCGAAGCGCGCGAGGCGCGGCTCGTCTCTGCGCCCCCGGGCGAGGCCACCCTGCAGAGGGACAGCCCGGCGGCCTGCTGGACCACGACACGCGAAACGAGCCCTCCCGAGCCACCCCAGCAGGAGCCCCTCGGACTTCCGCGAGCCGTCCTCGTTCCCCACTCTCCTCCTCCTCTCTTGCTGGAGGCCTCCTCCTCCTGCCTCCTCCTCCTCCTCCGCCTCTCTCCTCCTCCTCCTCATCCTCCCCTCCATCTCATTTTCCCTCGTCCCCCCATCCTCCTCCTCCTCCTCCTCCTCCCCTCCTCCTACCTCCTCCTCCCTCCTCCTCCGTGCCCCCCCGCCTACTCCTCCTCCTCATCATACCTCCCTCCTCCTCCTCCCTCCTCCTTCCCCTCCCTCCTCCTTCTCCCCTTGGTCATCGCTATCACCACCACCACCACCACCCACCACCGCCACAAGCATTCCCCTCCTCCGCCCCTTGTCCTGCTAAGCAGCTCTCCTCCCGACGCACCTCCCAGGCAGGGTGTCTGCAGGCCAGCCCGAGCGCTTCGCTCGGGATGGCTTCATCACTTTGTGACCCTGAGGCCAACCCAACACTCACAAGAATGGAAGTACGGAGGTTTGCAAGATGCAGCTCTCGCCTGAGCGCCGCACACACTCAGTTGACGTTTCCTCCGTTTTGATTTCAATTCGCGGCTCTCGCCTGAGACTTCCTCACCAAAATACTCGACATTCCCGACTGCGCAACAGTTAGGGATGGCGGGCGGCTCCGTTTCAAAAGGGGGTGCTTGCTTCAGGCTTCAAATCGATGACCAAAACTTCCCAATCGCGCAACAGTGACGCGGATGGTCCTCTGAAAACTAGGCTGTCGCTGGACGCGTCCTTGAACTGCACCACCCTACCCGT